AGATAGAGAAGATAAACTCACAGGATCAGCAAACACACTCATCTTGCAGCATGTTCTCAAACAAAAGGGATTCAAATAGGCCACTCCCACACTTAAATAACCTTCCTCTTCCTGGATTTCCTCCTGAGAGAAAGTGGATCTCTCCACCTGATCTCAAGGAGTTATGTACCCTGCTTTGTAGTTCCCCCTGTTGGCCCCCAACTGACATTATTTCTTCGCTTCCAGATCCATTGGCTTGCTCTAACTGCTTCATCTGACATTTCATTCATTGTCTTCCTCAAGCTCTGTCCCCACACTCCGAGTTCCCCCAGGAGTGAGACAGCTGATCTTGCTATGAATCCCCTACACCCCACTTCCCAGCCAACATTTGTATGTGGGGCCCAAATGGGTTAAAACATGGGCCCTATATGGGATTCTCCATGGGTTCCATAATGGCCCCATTCCATTTGCCCACATGGTTGGGTTTAATCAAGTGGGCTCCACATGCTAGGGCCACCTGGATACCAAGTGGGTATGGGCACAAAATGGGCATCTTATCTGGGCCCTTATTGGGTAAACCCACCCATGTGTGCAACTGGCATGGGGCCAATGTGGAACCTGTGGACAATCCCACATAGGGCCCATTTTCACGTCCATTTACGACCCACATGGGCCCCACATACAAATGTTGGCTGGGTTCCACTGGACAAATCCTAGTTTTCCATCCTCACTGCTCAGCTTCTGCTCCTAAATCTGCATATCTAAGCTTTTTTCTTTCATAGGCTTCTTCCACTGAGTCTTCTCAAGGAACTGTCAGCTCAATGAAATAAACTTTCCGTTGACTCACTGACCACAACACTTTATCAGGCCTCTGCTTGGTACAAACTATTTCCTGGGGAACAACAAGCTTTCCCCCTAAATCTACTTGCATTTCCATTTGGCATTTGCATTGCCTGCAGCTAAACATTTCAACACCTGGTTATGTCGCCATGTATATCGGCCTTGTGACAAGCTAACTTTACAGCCTGACAAAATATGCTTTAAGGTTGCGGTACCTGAAGACAATGAGCATGATGGATCCTCATTTACCCACTAAGCTTCCTCTTCTCTCCACTTTCCCAATTCAAGCCCTGTCCCTGTTTAGCCTGGGCCACTACCTTTGCACCCCTTAATATCTCCTCCTGTCTACGTATCTGTTCCACGACCAGCTTTCTTTTATCTTTGAGACCTGCTTAATTCCATACTGGTTTGCCTGAGCCAAGCCCCAGGCCTCCCCGGCCAAACTGAACATTACCTACAATCTCTGCATGCCTAAGAGATGCCTCTGCCTCCTGAACTGCCGATCTTGGGTTCCACTTCCTCCCCTTGGTTGGATTTGGAACCACACTCCTAACTACCACGTCCTTACTCCCAGATAACAAGAGCTCTGTCCTGTCCTGATTTGCATAGGCTACTGGTCGAAATCTCATGCTACTTAGGACAAATGTAATGTACAGAGGTAGCTGCACTGCTTAAATACAAAATTAAAGTTTTTGAAGGAAAAGATAAGTAAAGTCACTCTGATGACACAATTTTTTATGTGAAATGTGCATATTTACCCCCAATTGTCATGGTAAGGGCAAAACTGTTGGGTTTTTTTAAATTTGAAACATATTTTATTGGATTTCTTGACCCCAAAAATGTACACTTTGACACCAAATTTGTCATTATAGCTATAAAAGAAGCAAATATATGGGCTCTAGAGTATTTTCAACGCATTGGCGGCCATTTTTGAAAAAATGTGTTTATTTCCGATACAAAGTGTGATCTCACTTGTGTCTTAGGAAAAATGTATTTGTATAACCCTAAGGTACTTCCATACCAAAGGGGACCCTTTGCATCATGACTTGAAGTCAAAGGCCTATTTTTTGGGCTTAACCTCCCTACTAGTGGGGCGATTCTGCTTTTTTTGCACATGGAACTTCTCATTCAGCTGGAGTAATGGTATTATTTAACAGGTTTCCAGGCATGATAATTGACAATAAAACAGATACATAAAGTCATTGGTTAATGGTAGTAGTAGAGATAAATGACAAACGTTACATTTTAGTGTGTATTTATGGTTAGAATAATAAAGCTGCGGACAGGGACATGTTTGCAGAACTAGGTAAACTTGTGAATGATTGGAAAATAACCTACACTTCAGATCAAGTGATAATGGGTGGAGACTTCAACATAGTTGAAATGTGATTTGGAGATTTCAGAATTGCCTATTAAGTTGTCAGATTTCCATAAACAGGTACTGCATTACTGGAAAATGATACAGACCCATAATTTCACACCACATGGCTCCACCTTGTGGAATAATAGAACCATTACAATTAGTAAGAAAACCTTGTTTAAAAAAGAATGGTATGAGAAAAAAATGTTATATGTTGTTGACGTGATGGATGAACATGGCCATTTTATTCAATGTGATACATTTGTAGAAAAGTTTCATTTAAAATGCTCCGTCAGAGAGTTCAGTCCAATTTGTAAAGCCATTCCGCTTCCTTTGAAACACATGACACAAAGCACTCTTACATATTCACATGTGGTTATTAAGTTGCCTGAAATAAAGATTGGTGAAGTGTATGTTGGTGATAAGAAATGTAATAACAAAGTCATTGGTAATGTTTTGAAATGCAAATTGTTTTCTGATTTTCAAAAGTAAGAATAATCCATAACAAGAACATTTTAATTAATAAAGGTTTCCATTATCTTAAATGGCCAATTTCACCAAAAGTAAAAGACGTTCAGTTTAGAATTGTAAACAATGTTTATCCAGCTGCTGAAACTTTACGACAAAGATTTCATTTTATGTATGAAGCCATGTTTAAGTCTTTTACATTTTAATTTCATCCGTGCTGCTGTTCATTTTCTTTAAATCCCCAACGAGCCTATTGTTTGTTCTGTGAGCTCTCGCGAGAACACGCGACGCACTGCGCGGGAAAATACTCTGCAACACAGACCGTCTCAAGTGTTTCTTTACTCTGAGTGAGTTAAAGATGAAAACAGGAAACACGGAGACATAAAAACCTTTTTGCTTTGTTACATTTCCTTTCTCCAGATGTGATGTGTAACCAGAGAATGAGCGGATGATCCACGGAGCCTCGAGACTCTTCCTCATGTCTTTAGTGCGGCTGCTGTCAAGCCGTTTGTATGCATGACGTCATCAACACTCACCTCAACATCGCTGCTATCAGAGGACGAGCCTGCTGCTTGTCTTCTGGGGACCTTGTTGCTCCGGTGCTCCGGGTTCTGCTTGTCCTCCTCCATTCCGCTCCTCTACTGCTCCTCCTGCTCCTCCTCTCTCATGGACTCTGATGTCCTGCTCCTGATCCGCTTCTTCTTCTTCTTCTTCTTCTTTCTTTTTATGGCGGTTGGCAAACAACTTTTAGGTGCATTACCGCCACCTTCTGGACTGGAGTGTGGAACAGAATATACTATGTATTAAATTTTTTTAACAAGCCCTGTTGCTTCCAAAAACCTAAAAATCTCTCCAAATACAACATCCCCTGAGTTTTTCCTCAATATATCTGCTACATTAAACGATATCTTATTTCTCTTAAATGCTGCTTTGAGTGTGTTTCTCTGTGTTTGGTACTTTGGACACTGGAAGAGGATATGTTCTACAGTTTCTCCTGACTCACAATGTTCACAATTTCCTGTTTCATGTTTCTGTATTATGAATAATGTGCTATTTAACCCTGTATGACCACATCTCATGCGTGATATGATGTCTTCTTCTTTGCTGCTCCTATGACATTCTCTCATTTCTCCAACATTCCTTTGTAAATAGTAATCAGATTAATTCCCTGAGTTCTTCTGTAAAATATCTTTTCAGGTTTTGAATCAGTCACTTTCTTTCATCTTCATATTTCTGACAGTACATAAAAGGCTGTACTGTCTCTTCTTACCCATAGTGAGCACATCTCTGTATTATGTTTGCATATTTTGAACAGTAAATCCAGGTCTTGATATTATTATTTCTTCTCTCCTTCTTGTACATCTCATTTCTCTGAATCCCCTTTGAATTCTGTCAACTCTTTAAAACCTGGAGTGACATCACTTTTTTTGAGCTGTGTATTTAAGCTTTAAACTCTGAGCAAACTGGTGCAATTTTTGGGGGTAAAAAGGAAACAGGTGAAAAATGAACAATGAGCAACTTGGTGAAAAATGTCCAAATATTGCAAAGAAATAAATACATGAATTAATTAATATAGAAATTTATTTTTTAAAAAGCATGGGGAAAACTATAATTATAATTATCATTATTCTTACATTTTGAAATTGTTCCATAATTATTATAATTCTTAATTCATTTTTTTATAAGCACTCCTTCCAGCTCATTTCCTTGTTTTGTTTTTTTCTTAACAAATTTTCTTGTTTTTAATTTTCTCTTTTTTTCTAATTTCTTGCAATTTTTTGGGTAATTTCTTCTTTCATTGCTCATAGCCTTCATGTTTGTTAAAGAAATCAAGCCAATTCTAAACCACTGTCCTTTCCTCTCTTCCTCCCAGTGCTTCCCCACCTTTCCTTCAGTCTCTGTTTAATCACACTCCTGATTTCTGCTGTTTTTTTCTCTGGAGCTAAGTGTCGTATCAATACAGTTATTTTTTTGTGGTCTTCTCTGCTCCCTTATCTGCCATTTTATGTCCTTTCATACCAAAGTGTAGCAGTTACTGTTGCTATGGCAACAGAAAATAATAATAAAAACACTAGTTTGAAGGTGACAAGGAACTTCACAATGAGAAACTGAGTGACGGTGTTGTTGTCATGGCAACACGCTGCTTTACACTAGTGTAAATAATATATGTTAATGCTGTGGAGGCCGATCACAACAGTTCAACAAACACTGACAGATGTAAACAGTTTGAGATGATGAGTCAGAGCGTCTCTTTGTGTCCAACATTAAAAACAGCTCTGATTATTACAGCAGAGACCCTGACAGGAAACAAGTCCAACAGCAACAATCACATTTGCTGACACAACAGGATGTAAACAGGCATTACAGTGAAGCCAAAGAATGAACACGTTATAGACCAAATCACAATTTTTATTTACAAGAACTTGCAGGGAGAAAATCCTCGCATTACAAACATTAAAATCATCCAGCGCTGAGCAAACTTTGCCTCAGTGAGTTTGTTTTAGCCACATAAAAAGGCCCATACAAAAAAATACAATATCAGTTTACGCATACGTTATATTTAGCATATTTTCACCACTCTTTATGTGTTCAAAACTAAGCACAAAAAGTGGGGGAATTTGTGTTTGGTAGATTATTTCTTTGTTGTAACTATGCTTCTTGCTCATAGGTGATTTGGCACCTGATTGTCAGCACCTGGGGGTACCACAAGCTCAAAACAAGTGTCAATAGCAAAAAAGAAAAGAAGCTGTTTGGCATTGGCAGAGAAGATTTGGCAAATGTTTCATGGGCACAACCCACATACTCAGCTCTGCTGCTCATCCCACAAATGCATGTTCCTTACAAAAGTGGCACCATTTAAAAGGGAAATAAACAGGCTTTTCAACGGTTTCCAAAATTTACTGCTTTACTTTTTGTGCTTAGTTTATCTTGTATTTTTATGGCTGCAGCATGTGTGAAGAGCCCAAGATAAATTTCCTACTTTGTGGAACGATACAGTTTACCTTTAATCTTGAATCTTTACCTTGCAGTCAGACAGTCTTTTCCGATGGATATCTGAAGCTGTTAAATCAAAGTCACCAGACTCATTTTATGTAGCAGAGCACAGAGTTGCTGCCTCATTTAGTGAGTGTGTGAGGTACAGCTGAGCAAATATACAAACATAGCATACACTTACACTGATAGAGTTTTTCAGGTGGCCAAAATCTGTTTTGCTGCGGCCCCGTCCACAACAGTCCAGTGTTCAACTTCTGTGTCTGTAGATTAAGTTTATCAAAGATAAGAGCAACAAAGAACATAAAATAATCACAGCAGAAACATCAGACATGTCGGATCACCGTGTTACGGCTGAAATAAGTTTGCCGTTTTTTCTCCATAATTTAAAACAGTTGCCAGTAGGAGTGGGCGGATCGATCCCAAAAATATTGATTCTCTCCATACTACATTTTAATTTTGGAGATTGATCCTAGCATCAACAGGATCGATACAAAAAAAGGAAAGTTTCTCCAGTCTTCATCATACCGATTTGTATTTCAAGAGTCAAACTGTCTGTGCAAACAACATTCTGTTGTCCTGAACACATCTAGTGCATGTATTCTTTGCTTCTCTGCTGCTATTGTTTTGTCTGCAGACCCAGCAGCGTCTTCTTGGTTTCACTTTCACCCAATGTCAGCAGCAGCTTCCTGTTTGCTGTTGTTGTTGGACTTTCCTCAGTGCAGAATCTTTAAAGTCCAACTTGGTCTGAAACATTTACATGTCTTCACAGTCTATGCAGCCCTGCAACTGAGATTTCTAAAAATCCAGACTTCAGTCTAAATCTGTGTTTGTTCTGTGTGCGAGTCATCCTTTCCTACGTTGTTACTCAGTTTTCTACATACACACCGAAACATGAAGTTAGAGCCTGAAGCTTCAGAACCATGAGACTGAGTGGAGATAACCAGTGTGGTCGTATCACTTCTTTCTTCTTTCTGCTGACGGCTGAATAAACTATAGCATGGATGTGCTGCAGATTATCACAGAGTCTGATGGAGACTGTGTTCAAGGACCTCGCCTGGTTTAATGAGGCAGCATCACTTTAATAACAACTCCAACTCAACTCACCATCACAGAGTGAGAGTAAAAATGTGGAGCTGATCCTGAGGAGCGTCTGAGCTTTAGTAGTGAGACTGTGACAGGAGCAAAGACCAACACCAGGAACTTTAATCCCACTGCAGAGTCTACAAACTATTTTTATTAAAGGCTGAACTCATCTGATGATATGGACATTACAATCCTCCACACAAAAACAAACAGGCTTCAACTCAACTTCTGTCTCTGTACCTCCAACAAGAGTCAAAAAGAAGAAGAGCTCCACCCTGCTAAGCCTCCGTCTTTATACAGGTGGAGCTCAGGAAGAAAAACTCAGCTGTCTTCTACATGTGGACAAACACAGGACACATGCAAGACACTGGATAAGACATCAAATATGTTACACATGATAACATACATCATATTAATCTGGTATTTAAGTTGTTGATGATGCTCAGAGCTCAGAAGACTTTGGTGTCCTGATGTCATCAACAGGAGCAAACAGTCTGAGATGGAAACCTGAACATTGTGGAGGGGTTTTCATGTCCCTATAATACTGGGAGCTGTGGTGTCCCAGCCATTGCTCCTGGTCAGGTCTTGAGAGGCAAAGTGGTCCAAGGGGAGGGGCCAGACTAACAGTGACTCAACAGACTCACTGTTAGTCAGCAGTAGGAAGATGTTTGCCTGGCCCTGAAAATGTCCAAAACAATGCAGGGTAAACACATTTGTGGGCTTTAATGTCACTACCAACATTGGTCACATCAGGACGGGTTCTCTCTGGTGTGAACATGTTGGTGGATTTTTAGGTCATACCGTTCAATAAAAGCTTTCTCACACTAGTCACAGCTGTACGGGTTCTCTCCTGCATGCCGGCATTGGTGGGTTCTCAATTGACTGCACCGGGCAAATAATCTTCCACATTGGTCACACCAGTACGGTTTCTCTCCTGTGTGAATACATTGGTGGCTTTTTAAGGCTCCTGACAGTGCAAAGGCTTTGCCACATTGGTCACACCAGTACGGTTTCTCTCCTGTGTGAATACGTTGGTGGCTTTTTAAGGCTCCTGACAGTGCAAAGGCTTTGCCACATTCATCACAGCAGTACGGTTTCTCTCCTGTGTGAATACGTTGGTGGTTTTTTAAGACCCCTGACCGTGCAAAGCCTTTGCCACATTGATCACATCTGTATCGTTTCACTCCTGTGTGAATAAGTTTATGAGTTATTAAGACTCTGGTTTGGGAAAACTTTTTCCCACAATTGTCGCACACGTATGGCTTCTCTTCTGTGTGACTACATTGATGAGATTTCAAGTTACTGAACTGTGTGAAAGCTTTGCCACACTTATCACAGCTGTATGGTATCTCTCCTGTGTGACTGCATTGATGGGCTTTCAAGTTATGTGACTGTGTGAAAGCTTTGCCACATTGATCACAGCTGTACGGTTTCTCTTCTGTGTGACTGCGTTGATGTGTTTTCAGGTTACTTAACCATTTGAAAGCTTTGCCACATTGATCACAGCTGTACGGTTTCTCTCCTGTATGAATGAGTTGATGGGCTTTCAAGTAATATGAAAGAGAGAAAGCTTTGCCACATTGATCACAGCTGTACGGTTTCTCTCCTGTGTGAATTCTTTGGTGAGTTTCAAGGGACATGCGTTGCGAAAAAGTTTTCCCACATTGGTCACAGCAGTGCGACTTCTCTGCAGTGTGAACACGCTGGTGACTTTTTAAGCTACGTAGAGTGGTGAAAGCTTTCTCACATTGATCACAGCTAAACAGTTTCTCTGCTGTGTCAATGTCTTGTTTTTTTGAGGTCCCTGACTCTGTGAAATCCTTCCCACTTTGGAAAAAACTGGACAGTTCCCCTTCAGTGTGAATGCGTTGATGGGCTTTGAGGGCACTGCAGCGCAAAAATGTTTTCTCACATTGGTCACAGCTGTATGGTTTCTCTCCAGTTTGAAGTCTTTGATTAATTTTTAAAGATCCAGATGTTCTGAAGGATTTGTCACGG